CCCAGCATCTTCACTTTTTCTGTGGAGCACAGATTTGAGTGTGAATGTAGATTTCTATCTGCTGAGGAGCAGAAGTAGAGACAAAAATATTCTTATGGGGAATGTTTTAGACTGAAAAGGTGTCTCACTGGGGGCTTCAAACTCAGCTGGGAAATAAATTCCAAAGGCAGAAGCTCACCGGACTTGTCAAAAGGCTTGGCATTCCATTAGGGCAGTCTTAGGGCAAGTAGGTAAGAACTTGATGAAGTCATTGTGGGTTCCTAAAATGACCATGTACCACACTGTGATGAGTTTTAGGGGAAACTAACTGAAACACAGTATTAATCATCTCATATTTTCTGTGACAATATCTTGCTTGGATATTGTTTGCAAGACCCCTGGGGCAGGATCATTTCCAATTTAGACATGGTGTAGTGTTTGCCTTGGGAGGTTGAGGATGCTGTGACATCATTGCCACCATGGATTATCCAGGAATTTCTCATGGGATATCATAGGTATATGTTCCATGTCCTGCCCCTTTCCTTTTTATTCAAGAGGATTTTCACCTCTGCAGTCTCTGGCATGCAGGTCCCAGATGTTACCCCAACAAGCAGGCAGCTGTTGGGCGGGTGGGTTTTGGAAAGCAAACAATCACTTCATTAAAAATTTAAATGAGAAAAATTCCATAGATTAATATTTCAAGGGTAAATAAAGATTTTTTGCGCTATTGGTTAGGATTAGGAGTAAAATAGGGGAAAGCCTTGCCTCTTGTGTTCCTGCAAAGGAAGTTGCAGGTAAGCACCAAACCAGAAGATGTTTCCCACAGTGAATCTCACAGGAAAAGCTGTGCCCTCTTTAAACTCTTCAGAAGTTTCTTACCTTTGACACAGACAGCAGATTAACAGGTCTGAGAATTACCACAGGCCTAAGGATGACCCCCATGGTCAGTGGAGGGCTACCAATGCAGGTGATAGGTCTGATGATGCAGAGCTTATCTTTCAGGATAATTTCTAACCTAACAGTCCAACAGCTCACAGCCCTACCTGCATTTATCTTCACAGCAGACCAGCCAGGTCCAAGTTTTAGGTTATAAGTAGGCAAGATGTTGAGAGGTACTTGGGAGCCTTCAGAACATCTGTTTTGAACTCAAGGTGCATGCAGCCATCACTCTTACAGTTACTATTGGGAAGAGGGACTTGGGGTGCTCATTTTTGTAGACGACCATCCTCTTCAAGTTGTGCATTCTTTTCAGTGACTGCATGGCCTGAAGGGATGGTTTAGCTCATTGATCTGCCTGACAACTGGTGATCTTGGATCTGTTTTTGAAGGGCTGCACAAATTCCAGTTTTCATGTAATGTAGAAGAAGATCAGGACAACTTCTCTCTGCTGCTCTATAGTCACAGGGTAACTTAAATCACCCATTCAAATACACCTCATAAAAACTAAAAACTGTCATTTGTGTATCCAAGCCCATCCAGAAAGTCCAGCATAGTAGAGGGGCTTGAACCTAGTTTCTGGGTGAGCAACCCATAACCTGTGGCCCTTTCTAGGTTCTCCACTGTCTGAACCCCCCTCCATATAATGTCAGGAGAGTGATGTCACATACTTCTTCCATTCCCTTACCTACCTCTGGACCATTTCTTTGTGTTTAATCACCTCTAAATTTAAGAGGCAGCTTGTTTGCCTGAAAATGCATCATTACATGGCACTTAGCAGCACCATGCTACTAACATCCTGGCTGGTAAAAACCCACCAGCTCTGATGTGCCATGCTCCCATCAAAAGACTCTGGGAGGAAGAGGACATGTGTTTCCTTTAACCTGCAACAAAGCAAAGCAGTTCAAAGAGCTGGAAAAGGAGGCTAACAATCTCTTTGAAATGTAGGTTCAAATTCCCAGCACGGGCCCAGTCAATTATCAGCAAGTGCTGTGACACTTCTACTGCTAACGAGGAAGAGGAGGGAGGGGAGAATGTGGCACAGAGGTCCTGACAGGCAGCAGCGGGGGTTAAAGGACATCACCAGGGTGGTGGGAAAGTTACCAGGATTTGTTTCAGGCTGATTAACCCTTCTGTGGTGCACCCAGAGTAGAGGCCAGACTGCTGGAATGGGTGGAGCTGGGCAGGGTGGCAGCACACTCCCCTGCCCAAAGCCCTTTGCGTCTGGCAGGGCTTTTTCGAGGGATGCACAGCGCCTGGCACAGCGCTCTGCTGCTTTCTCCAGGGTGTCCCTCTGTGGCAGCATGAACCACTTTTATTTTAATCCTGTTAATGAAAGGCGGTGACTGCAGGGGTGGGGATGGGGCAGGAGGGGGGTGGGTTTGTTTTGGCGGTGAGGATGGGTGCACACAGGCATACAAATGCTGAGAGACAAAGGCTGTGATTAAGGGCTGGTACTCCAACTCCCTGCTTATTACAGGAAAGGATTTATCTGATGGCCTAGTTTCAGCTCCAATTTTCCACCTTTTAATCAGGTTCCCAGGTCTCCTTGTCCACTCAAAAAGGAAAGGAAGAGGAAATCTCAGGGTGATGAAGCAGGAGTAATACTCTATAAACATGCATGGGTCAGAAGGTTTCACTGCCCCAAAACTTCCCTAGGAGGCAGATCCCAGGACAGGCAGAAGGATTATGCCCAGCCATGCAGCATTTTTTTCTGGCATGGCAAGAGTGCATCTGTGCTTTCCTGCCTGACCAAGCCAGGGTTTTGTGAAACAAACGTGCTGGAAATAAAAACCTTCTGCAAAATGGAAAATGTACAGAGGAGCAGCTATTTTTAAAAGGGACAGCACCTACTGCTGTTATGAAGTCAGCCACATAATCAGTCAGCAAGGGACTTCTGTGGGCTGACAGCTGACTGCCAGGAGAAATGGTTCCAGCAGACTGATGAGAAGAAAATGAGAGTTTTTTGGGGTACTGAGAGGTACATATTCTCTAATAAAGAAAAGAGTATCTGTCCTGTGCTGCCCTGGGCACAAGGCAGATGGGGGAAGTGACCCTCACTGTCTTTCCCCACATGCTGGAAAGGAGGGATGAGATGCTGCTAACTCTTCAGCAGACAGAACAGCACAAGCAAATGCAAGCTCACCCACTACTTCTTCCTCCCTTACCCAGCCTAGCCTTATTGCCCAGCCTCTGCTGAGGTTTTCCTGCTTCTAAAAATGTTGAACCTGTAATTAAAACGCCCATCTTGCTTGCCAGGGCAAACATATCTGGCTGCAGAGCTGAGCTGGTTGTGGAGACAGCCAAAGCTTGCAGCTAACCAACCTGGCTGGCCTTCCTGGCATAAATGGCTCTCCTGGCATGGGTGGCTTTCCTGGCATGGATGGCTTGATGCCTGGTACCAGGTCCATCACACCGTGTTATCAAGCTGACAGGAAGCTTGAATGAGGGCCTCCTCAACTCATCCAAGCCCCAATGTGCCCCATCTCCTCTGTGGGGACATCAGTGCTGTTTCAGGCGTTCATGCCTCACTGGTGCAGAGGGGACACACATGTGTGATGTGAGGGCTCATGTTTCTGGTAGAGGCTTGCCTGGTTCTTCCCATTAAGAGGATTTTGGAAAGGCTATTTAAATAAATAATAGTCAAAACAATAATTAATAATCTAAATAATAAATTAAGTCATTAATTAAATAATGAATAAAAAGTAGTTGCAAAATAAAATGTTAAGGCAAGGGTCAAAGGAGTAGTGGGAGGGACAAGATCTAACACAGTGCTGGAGCATCATGTATGTGGGGCATTCACAAGGACGTGGGAGAATACAGCTTCAGACCCTTGTGTCCTAGGATATTGTCCTTCCCTAGGAGAGGAAGACATTCTCCACCTCTTTGACTGAGCCACACCCCTGTGCAGAAGTGATTCCACCCCAAAGGGGTGTGGCGGTGTAACCTCATGGCCATAACCTTGTGGTGGATACCAGAGGAGCATCTCTAACAGTTGGTGGTGGTGGCTCTTCCCCTACAGTCCATAATAGTTCTATGAGCAAGATTTGGCCTTTCCTGGTGATCTCACACCCCGGGCTATCATCTGGCTACTTTCTGTACCATCTGGGAGGATGGGGCATTTTGGGGAAACAGGTAAAGAATCAACAGCCTCTTCCAGGCAGCCTGCAAGTCTGCCTGCCTGGGTGGAAGATGCAGTTGTTCCTTCAGGCCTGGGAGGAACAGGAATATTACAAAACTTCCTATAGGCAGTTTCCTTGGTGAGTCTCTGATTGCACCACTTTTATACACAGCACCAATAAGCCTTTAAAATTAAATTTGTAATTTAAGAGCAGGAAGACCTCACTGGAGAGGTTTCTGTTTATTCTTTAGGTGCAATGGCTCTGCATGGTCTTAGTCCCCTGTGCAACAGCCCCAGCACTGCAGAGGAGGGTTCTGAGACTGGATTACATGTGTCTTGCTGCCAGAAGCTCTGTGGTTTGGCAGTGTTCAGCTTTCTGTGCTGTGGCATCACTTCTGCACTCCTTTACTCCCTTCCACCCCCACAGAATCATAGAAACTTCAGGGATGGAAAAGACCTCTGAGATCATCATGTTCAACCCCTAACCCAGTACTGCCAAGTCCACCCTTAAACCATCTCCCTAAGCACCACATCTACACGCTTTTGAAAACTTCCATGGTCTTGTGGTGTCTCCCCACATCACCCCACCTACTGCAAATCCAGCCTTTCAACACTAGCAGACCATGTCCCAGATTGATCAAATCCACAAAGAAATCCCCACCTGCTCCACAAGCTTTGGAGCAGGTCCTGGAGCAGGGAATTTGCACCACATGCTCTCTGCTGCTTCATGCCACGTGTTCCTAATTTCCTTCAAGTCAAGCAGAGAAGCTCTCAAAGTCTTTCCATCACTGAAGAGCACAGTAAGCCAAGCACCGTGGGACAAATCCTGCCCCCACTTTGCAGATGCAGCACCCATGGGGGCAGTGGGGGATCAGCAGAGAATGAGAGAAGCTGTGCTGCAATTCAGACCCAGTGACAGCTGCCACCCGCTCAGCATTAAAGCAATAAATCTGTGGGATCTGGGTTTATTCTCCTCCAAATCACTTTATTATATTGTGAGTAATCACAAAGCCTTACAATGCTGCAGAGGTTTTTTTTTAAAAAAACAGACTAACACAGCGATAGTATTTGCCAGCTTTTGCTAAAACTAGTTTAGCTAGCAGCTAGCATGAGATTACACAAGGAAATCTTGCAGTCTTCAATTGGATTGTCACATTGGGTTTTAAATTTACCACAGTGCTACTAAGACAGTAACTTTGACAGTAGGTGATAACCGTAATGTTTCATCTATGTACAGGCTTAAAAAAGTAAACAGTATTTTAAAATGTATTTTTCTTTAAAAAAAATACATTTTCTGCCAGCAGAAAATGATTCTCTTAAAAAGGCAAAATCCAGTAAAACCCCCACATCTTTCCTCACAAACTGCCCCTGTCCTGCATTGCAGTTTGTTTCTGTCCCACTCCAGATCTCTGCCCATAGGCAGCCCCATTGCCTTTTTAAGAAAATAAACCTTTCCTGTGATTGTGAAAGCTGGTCAAACATCGCAAAGGAGCGTTAGAGGAAAAAATTCCCAAAACTGAAGGAAGGGGTGAAAATCCCACCCTGAGCTACCCAAACAAATTATTGAAATTGAGACAGATGGAAATGTGGGAGTATTTCAGTACCAAATTTCAGTATCCAAAGTTAGGTGTTGACTCTGACTTTTATGGAGTCAGTGGGTTTGGGCAACAGGGTTTCCACCTTCCAAGAATTTTGAGGGTATGAGAACAAAACCTGAGCTTCTTCCAACACTCCCAAGGACAGTTGTGAGATGAGTTTATATCTGTACCACCTTTACACAGATTTCCCTAAATCAAACATTGAAAGTGACCCTGATGCAGGGCTGGATTTAGAGACCAAACTGCAGATCAGCTTGAGCATGACCGCCATCCACAACATCCCATGCCCCTGGAGAGAGCATGCCAGATGTGGACCAGACCTCAGCAGTCACTTCCACTGCTCCTAATTAGCAAATTGAAGGCTTCACACTTGGCATTGAGTCATGTTATACGGCCTTCTCCCACTTCCTCCTAGACTGGAGAAAAAGAGGCTCCAGAAGGGCTCCCCTCTGCCAGCATTTCAGCAATGCGGGGGGAGAAAAAAAATCAGTAAAACTTTGAAGACTAGGATTTTTATCAGATTTCAGTTTATCAGATTCACTTGGCAACCAAGGAGCTGTGTGAGAGAAAGAAAAGCCACAACTCTGGGAAAAAACCCAAAGATCTTTCCTCCGATAAGCAAAGTGCTCCAGGGCCACCGGCATCAGTGTTAATTCTTCCCCGGCACATTGTCAGAAGTGTTTTGGCACTGCAAGCTGCCTTACATACGCCCAGATGAGCTGCAGATGTTGTGTTCGGATGGGGAATGTCAGCCTGGAAACAACTTACTCTCATATCCTCTAGGACTGCATCTTGATTTGATAAGGTCATCAAGAAAGAAGCCCTGTCAAAGTTTCCTTCCAAGCTTCCCCAGAAAGGGAGGAGGGATTCTCTTCCATTTTTTTTTTTTTTTCTGAGCTAGGCTACATGATCTCTTCCCTTTGCAATCTTCTTCATCAAAATCTAGTTCCCGGGTGAGATGTGGCTGTTAGCAGAGCCCTCTGCTTCCCTTCCTCTGCTGTACATCATCTCTGACCAATGGCTCATTGAGAGTAAAAAGACAGGAGGCTGCCAAAGCTGGACCTAAGTTAATTAGACATGAAAAGGATCAAGGTGGAAAAAGGAGAAATTGGTGGGAAAATGTCTCGACTTACTCAATGTTCATTGCACACCTATGCAAATAACATGTAAAACCCAGCACATTAGGTGCACCCTGTATTCAGGTTTGTCTGGAAATGTTTCTTCAAGACTGAAAGTGCATGACAGAAAACAGGGTGCTGCTAATGAAGGCAACATCCAGAAGGCACATTTTGGGGAGTAATAATTAAAAAAAGGATGATGCATGGGTTTGTGAGCAAGCAGCTACAGAGCTGGTACATTTTGGTGTGTGCTCTGCAGACGTGTAGCTTTGCTCCTACAAATGCTTCTGAGGCATGAAGGGTTTGCTCCAGATGGAGTGTTCTGCCCTGGGACCTGCAGAGCGACTTGTCCCTGCATCATCCAGCATCGCCGCTCCTGAGCCGACAGGATGAGTGAGGACCTCGATGCGCCGGGTAAAATCCGGAGCCTGCAGATAACGCGGACCGAGATTTGAGAGTTTATAAAATCCACAAACAACTATTGGCAAATACAAATATATAAATTATTGACAGTTTTACAAAAGGCACACGGCAAGCCATCTCAGTCCGACACCTGTACAAGTCCCATGGTCCCCCACCCTCCCTGCCCCACCCCTTCTTCTGCCCAGCTTTCATCACAAAACATAAGGTGCTGCTGCTACGGATCCACGGCTGTCATGGCAACTGAGGACTTCCTTTTTGGTCAGCCCAATTTGTCGGTGGTACTGTCCTTCTTTGATGGTCTTAAGACACTGTATGTCCTTCCCCAAGGTGATGCTTTTGATGGAAGGCAGGCATTTCAGCAAAGTCTTTGGCAAGGATGATATGCCTGAGCCAGAGAGGTTGAGCTCTTGTAGGGAGTTCAGACCAAAGATAACTTCAGGAGACAGTGACTTCAAGCTGGGATTGTTGGATAAATCTAGAACCTGGAGAGCTTGAAGTTCTTTGAAGCTATGAGGAGATAACTCTCTAAAGCCATGCAGGCCACTGAGGGATAGATGAATCAAGTCTTTCAGCCCTGTGAAGTCTCCTTTCTCAACCTTAACCAGAGGGTTTCCATCAAGATTTAAATATCGGAGAGGAATGCCTTGAAGGTTTGGTACAAATTTTAGCCTGTTTCCAGAAAGATTTAAATTCTGGATGTTGGGAATGCTCTTTTCATGGTGCCTCGTAATTGTGCTGAGCATATTATTGGATAGATCCACATTCAGGGATTTGCCTTGACCTTTTGAAGCAAAAATGTCGATAGCTATATCCAAAAGTTTGTTATTGCTCAAATCTATGTCACTTAGAGGAGAGCTGGAGAAACAGTTCTCCGGAAGGACTTCCAGAGAGTTATGACTCAGATCCAAGGACTCCAGGTACCGAAGCTTGGAAAATGTTGTGGAGGAAATCTTGGCAATTTTATTGTAGCTCAGGTCGAGACTCACCAGGGTGGTGTATCCAGGACCAGTAAGCATCGATTCATTTATTGTTTCCAGTCTGTTTGATGATAGATCCAAGTAGGAGGTGTCCAGAGGGATTGGGACAGGAACAATGTGTGAGCCTATTCCACTGCAGTCCACCTTGGTCAAACTAAAGCTGTCAAAGAGACCAAAGGTTTCCACTTCACAGTGGCAGCCAGGGAAGCAGGTTTTTGTAGTACCAAAGCAAGGAAGGAGAAGCAGCAAATTGAACCAGGCTAGGAAATGCATTGTTCTCCTGGAAAATGAGACAATAGAAAAGCAGATTTAATTGCTGTAGAAATTACTTTATGAAGGATGTGTAACTGTTTGATTTATGCAGTCTTGTTCTTTCTCTTTACAAAGGGAGAGATTAAGCATACCCTTAAATAGCATGGATATCCCAAAGACTTTTTCTCTCATGTTGTGAACCCCAGTGGGAACTTAATGGAGAAAAAAAAATTGGGTCAGCAGTCTTTACACACATAACCAAATTGAGGCAAAATTGGAAATGAGCTCTAAGAAGAGTAGGCTGCCTTAAAGCATGATCTATTAAATATATAAACTTTTGACTGGACCATCAAAGAAAAGGACAGCTCCTTACTGCCCAAATGGATATCACATCTCCCTTCCTTGGACTAGAGATGTAAATTTTAGAAGTTTGGATTTGTATCAGGTGGCTTAAACCAACCCTCCTTGGCCTGGTGGAAGCTCCTACCAGAGCAGAGGAACCAAGGCTTGTTCAGTTTAACTCAGCCTTTGCTGTGGTGGGCCAAGCCCTCTGCACCGTGGAGAGAGACAATTTGCTTAATGTACTGTCTTTGGGGAGCCTCTGGTAATTGCATTAAATATTCTCTCGAATTAACAGTGCCAGTAAGCAAGGGGTTCTCTCCACTGCTTTGGTTTTGATCTGTCTCTCTCCAAGACATTTCTGTCTCTCCATCATCTCATACAAGAAACGCAGAGTGCTGATCTGCAAGCTCCAGCTTTGCTGAACCTCTTCAGATGGCATCCTAACAACTCACCCACACAACAGAGGGCAACAATAGCTGCATGGTTTCAAGAGACAGCCAAAACAATCCTTAGAGCTGTGTCTCTGGAGAGGGTACATAGGAGCATGTCAGCATCTTGCACGTCAGCAGAGGCAGCAAGGACTGTCCTCACTGGTTCCTATTGCAGTCCTGGGTGATGACTCCCCATGCCTTACAAACAAGGTCTCCAGAAGGCTGGAAACAAAAAATCTCACCAAGCCAGACAAGCAGATCCATCAGCACTGGTCCTTGGATATACTGCTGGCCATAAATAGACCCCAGGTGCCAACTGCTCATTTAACAAGCAAAAAGTAAAATAAATCCCTTTAAATGAATGTTCTCATCCCCACTTCAGCCTCCTTGGTCTCTTACCTTTCCCACCACTGTTTAAAAGCACTTCATTAACTTCCTCCAAGTATCATGTTTCCCACACAACCTTTGATCTGGCTGAGATTCCTTCCTCACAGCCCTTGCACCTTCCCAAGACCATTTCCTCGAAATTCACACTTCATCTCCCCTCACCCACCCCTTGTATTCAGTTTCTCTCCCTTTTCAGCATGGTGTTCTTGGCCCTGCTCTCATTCCCAGGAGACTGACTGGGGACTACTTGCCAACGTGCAAAAAAAGTGCAAAGAGGGAAGTGTTGCAAAAATACTGTCCTGATCACTGATGTAAGTTGTATGGAATTGTCTCCCAGACCTCCTGCAAACAGAAAGCAGAGATTGGAGCTCTGGCCAAGCTGCCTGCAACTAAACCATTGCTAAAGGCCCCTTCGGGGTCCATTATTCTATAGATACAACAGAAAATTGGTAAGATGAGCCCTAGCCTCAGCCCATCTCAACTGTTTCTTGAGAAAACACTTCTATGTGCAGAAGGGACATAGTGGGTAGGGCTCTTCTCTGCAGACACTATTCCAGATATCCCTTTCCTAATGACATCAAGGCAGATCCCCACTGGTTCTGTGCAGACAGACATAGCTTGCTGCCTTCTGCAGCCCCTCCTAAAATAAATACTACTATTTTTATTTTTTCATGAAGCTGCATTTGGATTGCACTGAAATGTTCTATTACCAGGGGAAGTTAGAGCAGTGGGGAGTTCTTGTAAACTAAAACTGCAAAACCTCAAATGTTAAATATCTCACATACAGGGAAGTATCTACATTGGTATCAGCCCAGTCTACTGGTATTTCTTCTCCCAAATTCTACCCAGTGGCTATTCCTGCTTGATGTCTCTGTGTGGAAAGGACCTCCCAACTTCTCCTTCAGAAGTGCAGCTCATTTCCTCATAGAATTGTTTTAGCTCTGGTGGGAGCTGAATCATACACCAGGAAGCCCAAAGACATACTACTGTTAAATTTTACTTTCTGAGCACTGCTAAAGCCTTCATTGGCTCCTTATGGAACATCTGAACAAAAGTAAGAGGACAAAATCCAAAGCCCTAATTTAACTGGGAACAGACTTTTAATAAGGCCTGTAGTGGTAGGACAAGGGGTGATGGTTTTAAATTAAAAGAGGGGTGATTCAGACTAGATCTAAGGAAGTAGTCTTCTATGATAAAGGTGATAAAACACTGGCACAGGTTGCCCAGGGAGGTGGCAGATGCCCCATCCCTGGAAATATTCAAGTCCTGGCTGGATGGGGCTCTAAACAATCTGGACTAGTTGACAATGTTCCTGATTATTGTGGGGAATTGGACTGGGTGACCTTTAAAGGGTCTACTCCAATCCAAGCTATTCTGTGATTCTATGAATTGAGAGAAGATTGCAAACTGATGCTAGGCTTTGATATACACCTGCTCAAACCCTTTTGACATGGGAATTCCCCTCCTGATCAGCCTCAAAAATTATTGCCAGAAGTGGGCAGATACAGTGACTCTTGCTGCAACATCTATCACTTCAGCCAGCAGCACAGACAGATCATGACACAGCTGAAATGCAGTACACAAAGCTCAGCTGAAGTCTTTGCACAGCATCTATTGCCTCTTCCCTTCTCGCAGCACTGCCACGAATTCTCCTTCACTGGCTCTGCAATTGCTTTGCAGATGGAATACAATCCATTAGCACCAGTTGGAAACTCCCTTATGGAGCAGAATAGACCATCATAGGCAAACATGCTACTTGGTTAATAGCTCTGACAAAAGATAGGAGAAATAAAGTTACTGGTCATCTTCCAGTCCAAGAAAGGGACTCCTGCATTGCCAGATCATTGGCAAAGAGCTTAGTCAGGTACAGGCATGTTTTATTATTGTGTGCAACAATCAGTAGTTCTCTTTGAAATGGGGAAAGAAACACACCGCAGGCATTTACAGTTCTGTGTACAGTGTGTGTTTGAAACTGCACCAAAATGCCTCTGGATTGCTGCCCACGAGCTGCTTTGTTGATAAAGGCAGGAAGCCAAGGTATCCCCTTGTAAAAGGAAGAGGAGTCATCCTCCTGCAGCACTGGGGATTTTCACCTAGAGAAATACCATGGACAAGAAACCACTGGCACCATCACCTAAGACAGTGAGGGCAAAGTCACTGGGAGAAAGCAGCCCACCCTAGGGCTGGTTTAGCCATGTCCTCTTCATTTCTATGGCTATTGAGGTATGGAGAGACCCCAGTGATACATTTTGGCCAGCTGGAAGCTCTATGGGTCATTTTATACCTGCTGATTCCAATAGGAGCTGCTGGGGGTGCAATATGTTCCCCCACTCTTCAGGTGCCTTTAGTGACTGCAGGGCTCTCGTCTTTATATCTTGCTCATCCTTTCTGCAGGTCAAATATTCTGAGACAATCCTAAGGAGAGCCTGTGGTGGTTAATGGAACCAGTGCTGGACCAAGCTTCTAGCAGGATGCCAGCCATCCCCTCAGATCCCACATCCCTCTGCTAGCCTGCAGATGCCCTTATGCCTTCTCCCTGCTATGCTCATCCATTGCAATGCTGTGTGGCAGGACTCACACAGAAAACTCACACTGAAATTTCCCAGCTAAAAAGCCCCCAATATTAAAAGCAGATTGCAGAGGGATGCCAGGCCTCAGATGATAGTTGGGGAGTGAGGTGGGAGAGAGGAAAGCTTTGTTACTGTGTTGTTGCAAATTCATGCTTCTCACTGCATTTGATGTTTTCCTTCTCCTCTCCCTTAAAGACTTTTCTCATTAGGGAGGTCAGCTGACACATCCCTCCCTGGATGAAAGCCCATTGCCTGGGGACTGGTCCCCCTCTTTGGGAATGCGGATATTAAGAGGATGCTACCTAGGCTACCTCCAGTTGCCCTGGCAACCACCAAGCTGGAATTCCCTGTAGCAAAAAATCAATGACTAATTAAAGAAATAATACTAGGGGAGGTGTTTTAGAGTTTGCTGTTTGATGGAGTCAGGAAACAGCTGCCCCATTCTTCATTCTTCATTCCCTCAGCCTCCCTCAACATGCTTCTGAACAAAGCATCATCTGAAATGGTGCTGGGGTTGGGGCTAAGGGCCCAAATTCATCCAATGAAGCTTGAGGTACATGCGTAAGAAGTGCAAAAAAAAAAAAAAACCCCAAACACCATGTTGTCTCTACAGTGGAGTGTAGAGAATGAAATTGCTCCAAAAGGGGATGAAAGCATCCTAAGCCCATACACATCCCTGGAGATGTCCCTCTCTCCCTTGTCCATGACAGAGTAGGATGTCCACTCTCCCTGGTTACTGATTCCCACCTCATTCTTGGCTGCATCTTCCAAACCCTAGTCCCTCCCAATAACTAGGTGCACATGGATAAACCAGGTTGGCTCACTGATCCAACAGAAACCCCTCTGATCTTTCTCCTTCCCCTTTGCTGGGTCAGTTTTCCAACAAATTCTGCTGACCATTCAGAGTGTTACCAGCTCTCACACAGGAGTGGGGAAAACAGAATCTGTCTTTTCCACAGCAACCCACAACTAGACCAAATCAGATATGACATGAATCTGTAAGGCATGGTGGACAGATCCTGGAAATTTTTACATTTCTTGGCAATATTAATTCTGGGTTAGCAGCAAAGAGAGCAAATTTCAAAGAAAAAAGGCAAAAAGGAAGAGCTGAAGTCCACCTGTCCCAAATAGAGCTGTTGTTCTAACAAAGGACAGAAGAGTCGTATTAGCAACAATATCTCAGGAGGAAAATTTTGGGATTGTCTTCTATTGTATCAGCCAAGTAAAGAAATAAACAAAGTCTTAACAGCAAAGCTCACCAGGCCCACTTGGCTACCAGCACTAATTGGGGTCAGGGGAACGGGAACGTTATTGGAAAGTGAAACAAGTGTATAGGTTATGACAGAGGCCATAAATCCTCCAGGCTGAAGAAAAAAAATGTTGGCACTGGCTCTTTTTAAATATCTTGGAGGCTAAGTGGCAGCTGGGACAGCAGCGTCAGAGCACCAGAATGCTCCAGAGTTGCTTCTCGACAACAAAATTGCATAAGAGACCTTTCCCCCTCTTCTCCACCCATTAATTATTCGGTAAAATTAGAATAATTACCGACTAAAGTGCAGCACTAGCAGCAGCTACACTTTTCCAGTGTGGACTCTCCCGGCTGAGCCCAAATGACGCCACAGATGCAGTCGTGGTCGGGTCTCCAGATCCCATATGCCAATTTGAGCAGGCAGCAAAACTAGCTCAAACCAGCCTACAGCCAGAGACCATGAAACCCCTGCTGCAGACACACACCCCTCCCATAATAAAGAGACTGCTGCTGACAAGGTCACTCTTTTTTTGTTGTTGGTTTTTTCATGTGCATCTATTGAAAGTAAAGGTCATTCAGGCTTTTGCTTTGCCGGCTCCAGACCAGCTCTTCCTGCAGAAGGCTTCCCCACATAAATACTGCAAAGAGCTCTTGATTAATATTATGAAGGCTCACCAAAAAATGTTGGTGTAAATGGGAACATTGTTTTCTGACCCGCTTGTTACATTTTGTTGTTTGCTGGTTTGGGAGACACTTTGCAAACAGTCCTGGTTTTATACTCAGTGTTTGAGACTTCTGGGGTTTAGGGAGAGGAGAGCTAATGGGAATCCAAGAAGTATTAGGTTTTTATGTTTGATCCTGTGTTTGTTAGATGGATCTGAGAAAGTTCAGTGGAGTTACTCTTGGTATAACTCTCTCAGCAGGATGAGAATCAGTCCCTTGGCTCTTCCAAATTGCACTTGATTTCATGAAGGCCTCCATCAGGAGACATTGTGCAAGTCACTTTTACAGGATAAATTATCACCTTTCACACTGATGGTTTTATCTGTGGGACTTGCAAAGCTGCTTAGAATAGTAGAGCCATCCCCAGTTTTCCAATAGGATATAAACACAAGGATTTGCAACCCTATTTCCCTCACCAGTGCATGCAAGTGTTAGGAGGAGGGGAAGCTCAGCCACTGGGGTGGTGAATTTAGCCCTTATGGTTTAATGTAAAGAGATACCAAGGGCTTGAGACGGAGTGAAAAGGCATCCTGCAGGTGCCTGACTGCTTTTTGCACCATGTTCCTGCTCCCTGGGAAAAATGAGAATGAAATGCAAGGAATGCAAAAAGAAAAAAAGAAAAGATTTTGCTATGAATTCCTTTGTGCTTTAATTATTTTGCCTGGCAAGATGATGGAGCAGATCCTCATGGGAACTTTGCTAAGGCAAACGGAAAATAAGGAGGTAGTTGGTGACAGCCAACATGAGTTCACTAAGTGCACATCCTGCTGGACAAATTTCACAGCTTTCTATGACACAGTTACAGTCTTGGTGGATGAGGGAAGAGTGACTGGCATTATCTACCTGGACTTGTGCAAAGCATTTGACACTAATCGACTCCACATCTTAATCTCTGTGGAGAAAACGTGGATTTGATGGTTAGATGACTCAGTGGATAAGGAAGTGGCTGGACAGTCACACTCAAAGAGTTAAAATCAACAGCTTGATGTTCAAGTGGAAACCAGCGGGGAGTAGAGAAACTGCATAAACAGAGACAAGATGCTGCTTCCTGATCTGGATAAGAATCCCACTGCCCTGCATCAAGTCTTTGTTTGCAAGACTTGAATCTCACCAAAAACCCATGGAATAAAGGTTGTGGACAGCCAGAAAGGGCAAAGAACAAAAAAACATATACCATTTCACATTTTTTCTGTCTTGGATATTTCCATTTGCTTTTCTCCTCTCTGGACAGAAATTGCTGAGCCAAAACTGCAATGACTTTCCAGTATCCAAACATGTTCTCCATCCTTTAGAGAGATGCTTGTAGATGTTGCAGGGGATGGGATAGATAAGATTAGCAAAGGCAAAGCTAAATTAATCATCAAAAACATCAAAAACATTTCACAACCCCAAAGGCAAAGTCAAGCAGCCACCACAAGGGCTGCAGAGAAGATGTGAGGGGTTGGCCTAGAGGGAACCCAGCACCTCCAAACCCTACAGCTCCACACTATGGATCTGTGTGCAAATATAGAATCATTTAGGTTGGGAAAGACCTTGAATATCATTGAATCCAGCTGTTAACGCAGCACTGCCAAACCCACCACTAAACCATGTGGTCAAGTGCCACATCTGCACATCTTTTAAATACCTCCAGGGATGGTGACTCAAACACTTCCCTGGGCAGCCTGTTCCAATACTTGACAACCCTTTTGGTGAAGAAATTTTCCCTAATTTGCAATATAAACATCCCCTACTGCAACTTGAAGCTGTTTCCTCTTATCCTATCGCTTGTTACTTGGGAAAAGACGCTGAAATGCTTGCTTGGCTGAAAGTCTCTGCCCTATTTTTTTTTTTTAATGTACAAAGAAAATCCTTTATTTAATAAAGAAATGGAAAAACCTATTAAAACAAACTTTGTTACAACTGTTAATGTCACAATTCCCACCTGCTTTGCAAGAGGCCAGAGATAATTTATCATCCTAGTGCTTAAACAGCTAGTAGCTTATTTCTCTTATGCAATCTTCCCCCCCAGGTATCCCTCATTCCCCCTGGAGGAGGAAATCAATGTGCAGGGTGGTGTATTTTGGGATCTGACAAAAGGAAAACATGTGCAGGCAGATCTGCCAGCCCATACAGTAACTTCCAGCTCATTTACATCCGTGGCTGAAATACAATTTCTGCCACACTAAAAGCTTTGTGCCTTGAAAAGATGCATTTTGTAAGGGAAGATCAGCCCAACTCCAGGGAATTTTTACTCAAGTGGGAAAATGTTGGTGCCACATCCAGCACAGGAAAAATAGGAATTAAATCACCATGGCATCAGGATTTGCACAAAATTCCCACTTCTCTGCTCAGCCCAGAGAGCTGTCAGCTTAATAGCAGTTTATTTCCAGGTGGAGGAATTAGTCTCCTGTGGCTTTTGAAAGAAATTTTGATCTCCAGCCTCAAGTCAAGCTGTGCTTGTGCCCAGAGGGGGCATTCCCAAAAGGAAATTGTTTGCCAGGCCTCCTGAGTGGCTGGGGGCAGGGGAAGGCAGGCGTTGGAGTGGTGCAGCACCAGGAGGGATTCACAGGGTTTTATGGGAGCAGAGAGGATGTGAGCATCCCAGCCCCACCATTGCCTCCTGGCTATTCCAGCTGCAGAACCGCTCAGACTGGGAGCTTTGGCAGCCACAACTGGTTCCCAGCAGCCTGGGATGCATAGAATCAGTCTAACAGGTGCCAGCAAGGGATGGAAGAGTGCAGAACTTTCTCCTGCTCACTTCCAGCATGATAACTCTGAATTCTTTTACCTCCTAACAACTCCTATTCCTTGTCCTCCCTGCTCTGCTTGTTAGCTGTGAGCATTTCTAAGTGCAGGAGGCCTCACTATCCTGGCACTCACTGAGTATAAGAGAGACTTCATCTCTGCCAGGAACACAAATATTTTCTTAACCATCTCAAACTCAGCCTGAATAGGATTTTTATCATAGCGACATGTCCCAGAATGGGAGGTCTCCGTTATTTTGGCACAAGCTCGGGAACAGGCCAGCCCTTCGACATGGTGCTTCATAGCAAAAGGAGAGGTTTACACAAAGTTTTATGCCAGTCCAAGTGCATTTTGCTGTAGAACGACCTGGTGAAGCTACCTCCAGTGCCCAAGAACCCACTGTAAGGCATGAAGGGAGCCTGTGAGTACCCAGGCTTTACCCAAATCACAGCAGTCCCCTTGAGAGGATTAAACCCTCCTCCTTTCTTAACTAGTCAATTATTGAAAATGAAAATGATGCCAGCAAGCTTCTCCTGGAGCCTCAGCCCTTGGCGACGCACACCTGACAGCCAATCCCAGACAGCTCCTGCACTGACTCCTGCTATGATGATAGTTTTTTGCTGCACTCCAGCTCCCAGAGACATGATATAATTCCAGAGGAATGCACTCCAGGATGAACACCATATGCCAGCGAGGAACCGTAAGAGGTGCAGCACGGGGAGAGGAAACCTCCTACCCACACAGGATACTTGTTGGCTTTAGCTGTTAGAAGAGCTGGTCAGCCATGCCACTGTGCCCAGCTGGGAAATGCCACGTGCTGTGCACATCCCTGGGATGGCAGGTACCATGTTCTGTGCCAGGGAAGTGCAGGTTGCAAGGAC